AATCAACCAACTTGCCTTCAAGAGACTTCTCCCGAGTCTTCCCTCCAGACCCCAAATCCAAGAATCAAAGAAAATAGAAATCATAAACATCTTCGGGAGACTTCTCCATCTAACTCAAAACCACCTAAAAGAGAATTAGACCAACCTAACAAGCAACATTACATCAAATAGGTTAATTATCGTTCGGTCCAGTGCCAGTGTCTCTGCTTTATTAGAATTGTCAAAAGAGGTAATGTACCCAAAGGGGAATGCTAACAATCAAGGTGGTTGATGTGTGTGGTTCGGCACTTTCATTCCTTAAAAGAGGTCAGGGGTTTGATCCCTGCTCTCGTATGGAGTCATCACTTTGGCCAGCACTTTACTCTTTACGGGACGACCCGATGTGAGCGGGGATTAGTCTGGATTGTGGTTAAGGCTTAAAAGTGTCACTCATAGTTGGGGCCCATCCAGGACCACCTCGTGGTTCAGACAAAAAAAAAAAGGAGGAATGCTAACAACCTTCTTTCTAACATTCTCTTTTGGATTTTCTCCCTTTTTCTAATGACATGCGTCATTTTCTATACACTTAAAACAACGTCATCAATACTTGAGACAAGCTAACTTTTGTTTTCCAAACTTACCCTTATTAAATATAGGGCCCCTTAAATATATTGACTTTCATATTTCCTTCAATTTATCTTTTAATTTTTTTACAATTTTCTTATTACCTTGTTAAAAAATTAATTTAAAAGTGATATATCATATATTGATGAAGAATCACGTGTGTGGTGAAAAATTCAAATTCACGTGGAAACAAACATGCATGAACATGCCTGGGTCTTGAATGTATGTTGATGTTCAAATCGTTGGAATGATGTAGGTGTTCCAAGAATTTTTTTTACCATCCCATCCATTTCCGCCACCTGGGATAAATTTTTAGGTTGTTTCCTGCTGAATATTTTTTTTAAAATAAAAAATTTCTGTTAAAAGACTAATCCTACGGCAATTGGATTGATTGTAAGTTTGATTTTTACGCTCTTTTAAAAAACTGATGTTTTTTTTTCTTATTTAATTTTTAACGAGATGATAAGAAAGTTGTAAAAAAAAATTGATAAATTGAAAGAAACATAAAGGTTAATACATTTAATAAGGGTAAATTAGGAAAACAAAAGCTAGCTTGTCTCGAGTATTAATGATATTGTTTGAAGTGTAAGTAAAGTGACACATGTCATTAGAAAAAACGGGCAGGTCCAAAAGAAAAAGTTAGAGACAAGGTTGCTAGAATTCCTCTGTATCCAAATGTCACCAACAAAACAAGCTAGCTTGCCTCTGTTTGGTCTTGTTGAACCTTGTTTGCTTACTGGTAGGTAGGAAAAACGTGCTCAACAAAACAAGCGATATATGGTGGTTTTATGAGAATGGAACCTCAACGCCCGCTGATTTGTGGCACCAATTCAGGCCCGTAGTGTGGATGAGGAAGGAACTTTCTAGCTATTGATACAACCGACTTATAACTCTTTAAAATTAAATATATTAAACATGAAAAAGTCAAAGAAGCAATAAATTCGAGATCACAACGTTACTTGTACGGACTTATAGCTCTAGTGGCAGAAAAAATAAACACGGCTTATGACAAGAGTCTAACTCTTGCCCTTTTCTATTGAATACAAAGAACGTGGATTTATGAAACCAAATAAATCATTAGGGTAACTTGGGCTCAAAGTTTGAAATATTAGCAAAATGCTTGTAGCTCAAATGGATAAAAGTATTTACACTTGAGATTGATCGTGTACTCGATTCTCCCCTCCCCGATAACATCTCTACAGAAAATAAAATAGAGAGTTTGGATTATTAGTCCAGTGAAATAAGGTATAATTGGAAGTGGTTCTAATGCTACATATGCTCAGGCATAAATTGGAATGCAACTAATAAACATGTAGGTGTAGCCCTTAATCTATCTACCGTGCTTAGGGGCCTCTTTGTTTAGGGTAGCCAAATGTGTGATTAATTATTAGTTTTTAGAGTAAAAATATAAAACTAATTAGTTTCTAGAACAATGCATTTAAATGCTATAGTTAGGCAATGAAGAACAGAAGTCTTGTAGCTGGCACTGTCTGAAACTCTGAAAGGACGGATATGGTTGTAGCTTAAATCCCATGCATGCTCACTTGCCAGTCAAACCTTCCTTGTATGAGAAGTCCGGTGGGTGAGAAGTGTCACATGGACAACAGACCCAAAATCACACAAATTCAACACAAACACATTCTCCACTCTCTCTCTGGTTGGCAAGAAGTTCCCCTTGAAATATAAGCACCTCCAACTACTAATTTGGCTACACTACTATAAAAGCAACATTACCAATACACCATTAAACCATTGCTTCATCAATCCACCATAAGAAAAGAGCATAGGCCTGCACTTTTAGTGTAAAAAAGCTATTAAAGAAAGCTAGCCAAGAGTTCAGAGCTTACGAAGAGCCGGCTGCCAAAATGGTGAGCTCTGATTCAGTTAACTCAAGAGTTGAGACCTTGGCCAGCAGTGGAATTGCAACAATCCCAAAGGAGTACATCAGACCCAAGGAAGAGCTCATAAACATTGGTGACATCTTCGAACAGGAGAAGAGCACTGATGGGCCTCAAGTTCCCACCATTGATTTGAAGGAGATAGACTCTGAGAACGAAAAGGTGAGAGAGAGATGCAGGGAGGAGTTGAACAAGGCAGCAGTGGACTGGGGTGTCATGCACCTTGTGAACCATGGCATCTCCGATGAGCTCATGGACCGGGTTAGGAAGGCCGGGAAGGCCTTTTTCGATCTTCCCATTGAGCAAAAGGAGAAGTATGCCAATGACCAGGCCTCTGGTAAAATTCAAGGCTATGGAAGCAAGCTTGCAAACAATGCTTCTGGGCAGCTTGAGTGGGAGGACTATTTCTTCCACCTTATATTCCCTGAGGACAAGCGTGACTTGTCCATTTGGCCTCAAACACCTGCTGATTACATGTAAGTACTCAAGGGAAAAAAAAATTCTTATCATTCTTAATTGAATGAAAATTTTGAACATATCCTAGAAAATAACACAACATTCTTTAAAGAATTATCAATTGTTTACATAACTTTCTTTTCATAGATATCAATATTCTGTCTTATCAACAGTTTTGTTTTTTCAGACCCTCAATATTTCTGTTAACATAGATAGTTAATACCTTTGCAGTGAGGCTACCGCCGAGTATGCTAAGGAACTGAGGGCGCTAGCAACCAAGGTACTGCGCGTGCTGTCACTTGGGTTGGGATTGGAAGAAGGGAGGCTGGAGAAGGAAGTTGGGGGGCTTGAGGAGCTTCTCTTGCAAATGAAAATCAACTACTACCCAGTTTGCCCTCAGCCAGAGCTTGCACTTGGTGTTGAAGCTCACACTGATGTCAGTGCACTCACCTTCATACTCCACAACATGGTTCCTGGCCTGCAGCTTTTCTATGAAGGCAAGTGGGTCACTGCCAAGTGTGTTCCAAATTCCATTGTCATGCATATTGGGGACACCATTGAGATTTTGAGCAATGGTAAGTACAAAAGCATTCTTCACAGAGGAATGGTGAACAAGGAGAAGGTGAGGATTTCATGGGCAGTTTTCTGTGAGCCACCAAAGGAGAAGATCATCCTTAAGCCGCTCCCGGAAACTGTGTCGGAGACTGAGCCGCCAATCTTCCCACCAAGAACTTTTGCTGAGCATATTCAGCACAAGTTGTTCAGGAAGAGTCAAGAGGCTCTGCTCAACAAGTGAAGCTGCTTATATTAGTTATCATATTGTTGTGAAATTATGATATTTATGAAGCCAATTTATGGCCTAGTTTGGATGATATATCTTGGTTGTCATGATGTCTGCTCTTCTAGCTACTGTCTACCTGCTTTGTTGAATAATATTTATTTTATTTCCCTTGTTCCTGTGATTAATGGCTATTTCTAGTCCATATCTCATTATATGGGTGGTCTCATTTTTCTTATTTCTAGGCCAGATCTCATCTTCAAGTTTGGTATATATAAGTGCTTCATATTGTTTATTAAGCTGGAAAATTTACAAATGAGATTGCACCAAGGCAACCATAATGCAATCCATTTTAATATTTTGGAAAGATAAAAAGGTCTTTTTTTTTTCTTTCTTAACTAATGAGAACAATTTCTTCCTCAATTTTTTTAAAGAAAATGTACCACTTACCCATACTCCATTAGAGGCACACATGATCCAATGATTTATATTAGAAAATTAAGATTATATTACATAGTCCAATGATTTGTTGTATTTTAAATACACTGTTTCAATTCTATTTCGAATACATTTTACCCAAGTGTATTTATATAGTTTTTAATCTAATTTAGCTTTATTATAAAATCTATCATAATGGACCCTAAACGAATTTACTGGATATTAAGTGAGTTAATAAAATTGACACAATTTTCATACTAAATAAATAAATAAATGGACACAAATTTGTTCAGAGTTTAGAAATTTATGGACGTCCCCTGGCATATTCTAATGACACAACATACTATGTTTCTAACTAGTTCTTGATGTGGCGAAAAGAGTGGCATATTCTAATTACACAACATATTACGTTTCTAACTAGCTCTTGATGCGGCCAAAAGAATAATATCATGTACGACAAAAATTAAAGAGCAAAGTTGAGGACAGTCGTTCACGCGCATATAGATTACTGTATGGATATCCCATGATGGGACAGAAATCCATCCAAAACTTACGTAGCCAAAATCAAGGCCAATATCAACCATAAAGTCCAATCTCCTAGTTATATATGAGGGCGGTTTTTGAATTTAACCACCAGTCTATGGCATCGTCTCAACCAAATTCTGGCGGGGCAGACGATTTGAGTTCAAAGTAATTATGTAAATCATAAAGGTATGATTAAACTTTATATTACAACCCGTACTTACCATTCCAAATTGTTATAACATTTAAAGTTTTGAGTGGACTTTCCAAAAAGTTCTTTGCGTCAATGGAGTATTCTTTCTCTCTATTCATTGTCCAAGCCCTGCTTTTTGACTGACGTTTAACCTAACTCATTTTTGTCATTTATCACCTGCAACCAATTTGAATATGTAATCATAATCATCCAATTTGTAATTTTTGCATTTCGAATAATATATTTCCATGTGACTTTTTTCCTTCATAATTTTTTACCTCGCGAGATTCTCACAGAACTATCCCAATTTTTTTTACTTCAGATAGAACAATGAACATGGAGTTTTCCAATTCTTTTCATAATATATGGACAATTACTGAAAAGTATGTGATGTGTAATAATATATTCCATCAAAACATCATATGCAGTAATAAATATTGCTAAACAAAATTAACCCAACTGATAGTTTTCTTTTAGAGATCTGTTTCAAAACTCAGAAAACTGTTTTCATTCTTTCCTCAACGATCGATGAGTATATCCTTTCGAGCTCTTTTTTCGTTATAATTATTATATAAGTGTTTTTTGTATTGTAATACCATATATGCTAGCATATGTAACAATAAGGAAGAAAGAGCTGAATGATGAATATAATTTACACAAATTATAACTGGACAACCAAAAAACACAAAGCTTTCCTCATCTCATAACCGATTTAAAGCGCACAAATGATGAGCAAACAATTAAGAAATTATATATATGTATGGGACAAGTTACCTTAAATATACTTGTGATATAACGAGAGAACATGATGGTATGATTGATCATGGAGCTGAAAGAAAGAAACTGATACCATCAAGAAAGTTACAGTTTCCAATCTCAAAACCAAAAAACCTTAATAAAACACAAATTTCACATATATACAGGGACATGTTATATTCAACAGCTTTTGCAAAACTCTCAGCCACATTTCAATACCAGGCCACATTAAGTGCCTGGAAGGTCGAATATCTACAGGTATATAAATTCATCACACCAAACTTTTACAAAGGATATCAGTTCTCCCAGCACCTTATTTGAAGTCAGCTGGCTGATCATAAGTTTTTGTCAATCTCTGTTGGAGCTCAGACGTATCAATGCTTCTCCCATCACTCACCTGTGTATTTACACACCAAATATGAGGTATTGATGGAGAAATGTTCTCTTGTCAGACTACTTTGCTTTGCAATGGTAGTCGAAATTTGCAATCTGACAATATAAGTGTTTGTCTGGTAGCATAAGTACTCTTCTAAGAGAACATTAGCCATGGTTGATAAAAAAGATACTTTTTACACAAGCAATATTATAAAGGAGGGGGACTCAAAAACAGAAGATCTAAAGTGCGTGAGCCACTTGAGCTATAAACCCCCTTGCAGTAAAGATATTTAAGTAGCAAAACCAGAAGATCTAAAGTGCGTGAGCCACTTGAGCTATAAACCCCCTTGCAGTAAAGATATTTAAGTAGCCAAGAAAAGAAAAGTGGCAAATTAAATCCCTAACTAAAGTTGAAGACAGTTGCCAATGATTCTAACCGTCATGGTGACATGTTATGTTACTAGATTGTGTATCAAGACCGTTGATTAGTCGGACTATGTCCGAATTCAGTACACAGTGTTGATTAACAGTTGTATATATATCTCGAAATTTAACACATTATTTGAGAAAATTAACTAGCTAGCTACCGTACCTTGAGATATTCGAGGGGGAGTTGTGATCGAAGAGATGCATAAAGGGTGGCCATTTCTTGTCTTCTTTGCCGTTCAATATCTCTATGCATGATCTTCTTATTGCCCTTTGGGTTTTCATCATCAATTTCACCAAAAGTGATATTGGATGAAGGTATTGATGCCTTGTGCTTCTGCCCAGATTTTGGCCTGCAACTGAGATCACGACCATCTTGAGATGGAGTTGGTGGGAGTGCTAGATTTTCTTGGGTTGTGTGCTCTGTGTAGGGAAGGCAGGAGATTTGGAACAGCTCATTATTTTCCATATATTTTATCCCCAACACAAGTCCTCGCAATGCAATTATTAGCCAAATACCGTCGATACTCCAACTACACCTTCTTTTGTGATTACAAATTGAGACGATGCAGGGGCCAAATGTGGGGCAAAAACAACAGTAAGTCTCCTTCGTGTTTGACTGGATATACTTGTTGAATGTGCATAAGGACTGTTAACCCCAACAGATTCCTCATGCCTTGACAAGAACACCCTTGAATTGACGCAATGTGCCCAAGCCAGTCCCAAAGCTGGACTAACTCGTCTGGCTGATGTATGTAAGCACTCCAAGTTTCCCAATCTCACCCCATCTATTCCATCAGCTGACCCAATGAAATCCACCACCTGGTTGGTCAAAACCACAGCCACCCCAAACTTATTTGCCAAAGCCTTTAATTTCCCGGAAACCTTGAAAAACATTTCAGATCTGCGTTTCAAATCAGCGGGTGTTCGGTCATATTGTGACCCAAACAGTGCAGCAATGGAATCAATGACAATGAGCTTTACAGGTAACCGGGTGTGACCAATGCCCATAAATGCTTCTATGTCTCGAAGCACATGGACCATTTGTTGTGCATCATGAACGGCATGAACATATATGTCTTCCAATGGGTTCAACCCTATCAAGTTAGGGTGTGATGCCTGATAATGGTTGGCTAGTTGCTGCAGTCGACGAAATGGGAAGCTGAATTCTGTGTGTATGTAGAGGGAGGACCCTCCTAGTCCACCATGTGAGGGTGGGAGCTGAGCTCTTACTGTTAGTTGGAGACAAACTTGCGTCTTTCCAGAACCGCTCTCCCCCACCAATTCTGTTATGGAGTTGCAGGGTATGCCGCCACCCAAGCAGCCGTCCAGTATTGGGCATCCGATGCTTAATTTAGGGGTTGAAAGAGGAAGGACCAGGAGGTTTTGTGGTGTCATTTTTTCGAATGAGTAATAGATGACCAAAACAACTCCCCTTAAACCTTTCCAACTGCTCTGAACTGAACTTCTCCTTAATTGCAGTAATGGCGGTCTTTGTGTATGACAGGGACAATGCCTTTCCTTGAAACTTGTTCTTCTCCACAATCATGAGCTTTACATTTGAACTTAATCTTCAAATCCCTGCACAACAAAATTATACATTCGGAAATTAGATATACAAAAAGGTTGCGTCCCTCCAATCCATGCATTCATTCAGTTATCTTTCAAAACCAACACTGTCCTCCTACTCTAATATTCATGATTCAGTACAAGGAAAAGCTGTAGAGAGAAGCACAAAAATGAGATGAATGCAATTTGCAAATAATATACAACAATCCTTCAGGGAATTGAATGCACAGTTTGTTTGTAAACTCAAATATCTACAATAAAAATAAGCAATTTGACATTGAAAAGTTATCCTTCTTCCATGTATATAAAACAGATAATAAACTGCATATGAGAAGCAAATCCTTCAAGCTTATCAAGCAATCACCACCAAATTCAATATGAAATAATCATAAACTGCATAATGGAAGCAAAAACCAATCATTCAATCACAGATACCAAAACAGAGAATTCAATCATAACGGATACAAAAACAGATCATTCATTCATAATGGAAACACTCAGCCCATCACAGAAACCCATCAATGGCTCAAAGAATTCTGGTGGGACATACGATTTGAGTTCAAAGTAATTATATCAATAATAAGGTGTGATTAGAATAGTACTCTATGACTTTAGACCAGTGTTTTCAAAGGCATGCCTTCGCGCGCTTCGGAGCGCGCGTCGGAGCGAGGCGGCAGGAAAACGCCCGAGGTGGTCGACTGTTTAGCGAGTTGCACGTTTAGCGCGAGGAAGGCGTAAGGAGGCGTTGCAAGGCGTAGCGAGGCGGAGCAAGGCGCGCTTGTTCTGAACCGGAAGAAATTTTGAGCGTCTGCAATTTGGCTGCGGCGCTGCGAGGAAGAGGAATTCGCGAGGAAGACGACTCAGTTTTTATTTTATTTTAGGTTATTGTAACGAAACGACGTCGTTTCGATTGAAGTGTTTTATAAAAAAACTTAAAAGTGAAACGACGTAGTGTTTTGAACTAGTTTCTGTTTTTTTTTTTTTTTTTCCTTCCCTTTATTGTAAACATGCTATCCCTTTAGGGGTCGTTTGGCACGGCGGACTATCATGGACTGGACTAAATCCTAGGACTGTCTCGGATTAACTTGGATTGGCCTAAGCTGGATTAAGTCCTGACCTACGTTTGGTGCTGCGTCGGACTAAGAAGCTGGATTGTAAAAATAGTGAAGACCTATGTTTGGTGTTGTGTCGGACTAAAAAATAATTATTTTAATATTTAATTTTAATTAAAAAAATAAAATTCTAATATTTAATTTTAATTAAAGATTGCTAAAACTATCTTATCTCTTCTTCTTCTTTTTTTTTTCTTCTCTTTTTTCTCCTTTTCTTCTTCCTCTCCTTCCCAGCCCGTTTCTTTCTCTCTTTTTTTTTT